CCCAACCGTAACCCCAACCCCAACCCTAACCCCTAACCCTTAACCCTAACTCTACCCGTAAACTAACCCTAACCCTCACCTAACCCTAACCCTTACCCTAACCGTACCCTAACCCTAACCGTAATCCCAACCCTAACCCCTAACCCAACCCTAACTGTAATCCTAACCCTAACCTAACCCTAACCGTTATGCTAACCTAACCCTAACCCCTAACCCAACCCTAACCTTAACTGCTAATCCTAACCCCTAACCCTAACCCCAACCCTAACCTAACCCTAACTGCTAACCCTAACCCTAACCCTAACCCTACCCTAACCCTAACCCTAACCTAACCCTACCCTAACCCTAACCCGGGGGCCTGTTCCACTCGGCCAGCGAGCTGCAGGACGCATTCCTGGCTCGGCCTGTTCCTTCCCTGAGAACGCTGTTCCCCGTGTCTCCAGGTTTAAGTCCATTCCGTCTACTGTCTTTGTTGTACTGGGTTCTTTACGTTGTTTTCTCGCTTTCTCTACTAGACTGGGACACGTGTGAGGCCGGGGGCCTCTGACGCCCCGACTCAGTCTCCAGACATTCACAGGCTGCAGGTGCTGGGTACACAGGGGCAGCCCAAGACGGGGCTCCCCGGAGCGAGCGCAGGGTGGGGGCAGACGGGGAAATACTCCTCGTGCCGGGTAGTAAGGTTTATGACCAGAACGGGTATAAAGGGCTGTGGGAGCCCAGAGGAGGTGGGACCCATTCTGCTAGCGAAGTCAAGGAAGACTTCCCGGAGGAGGGGGCATTTGCACGAAGTCTCTAGGGACAAGGAAACTCCCCAGAGAGGCGGTGGGGTGACGCGCAGCCCCTCTGTGCCCGGCCAGGGGATGGCAGGGAGTGGGGGTCACTGTCCGCTTGTTCCCGGGGTCACGAGCAGGGGGCAGGAGAGCCCAGGCCCGCAGGGGCCCGCGGTCACCCACGTGGGCCCGGCAGGGGCAGCCTGGAGGAGTCAGGGCCGCCGAGAACTGTGCTTTGGGACAGCCTGCCAGGGACCCGGGGTTCGGGAACCACCGGACGGGCCGTCGCCCCCTCACCTGCCGCCAGCAGGACGGAATTCATGAACTGCGCCACCGTCCTCTGGAACCGCTTCTTGATCTCGGCCAGCGCCCGGCTCATCTTCGACACCTTGTCATCGGCGCCGTTGACCCCGCGGACGAGCTGCAGAGAGGCGGGGGGAGGGCGGCGTCACCGGCGCCCCGGGGAGCCGCCGCGTGGCCTGGCGACGGCCGCGCTTGCTCCGGCTTGGCGCGTGCTGGTCCCTCCCCGGGGGACTCGCCTCTCTCCTCCTCGGCCCGAAAATCCCTGCAGCCCGGCCCAGACCGACTCGGGTGGCCTGTCCTCGGAGGGTCCCCGATTCTGTTGGGCAAACCCGGCCCTTGCCTCGGACGCCCATGGCGCTCTCTGCGCAGCCTGGGGACGGAGACCAGCGCTGACGAAGCGGCCCGTTGTGCCTGAGCCTGGCCCCCGCCAGACCGCGAGCCCCTCCTGGGCAGGGACCAGGCCTGGGTGTCCTTTGGGTCTGGACAGACGCTCGGCAAACGCCGCTGCAGCCGCGCACGGCCGGGCAGACGGGGCCTCCGCGGAGCTGTCGCCGCCCTCTCGCTCGGCG